AAAATAGAGACATAATATGCAGAGATCAGAGAAGAGAATGCATGCCAAGATTGTGAGCGAAGCAAAGCCAGGGGAAAACGTGCACGCGCTCATCATCATATCTGTTCAACTCAAGACAACTTGATTATTTTTAATTAATTATAATAATTTACTTATTGTACGACCCCAAACATGTCTTATCATTGCTTCCTCATATTTTCTATAATTATTATATACCATGTGTTACGCGTAGTGACAAGTTATGCTCCCATTATTTAACTAATTTGGAATCATAAATGTGTTTTCTTTGTCTCAGTTTTTCGAATTTCTTTTAATATTTTATTGATGATTGGAATTGATAGTAATTTTTTTATTCAATAATTTTGTTCGATCCTTGTTTATCGGATATGTGACTAAGTGTTGATGTTTTATTGGAATGACGAATTCCCTTTTCCTTTTATTCCTAAGTAGAATTGAATGATTTTGATTCTAAATATAAAATACTCCTCCCGTCCTAATTATAAGACCCAATTGACTTATTTGAGGAGATTAAGGAAGTAAGTTAAGTTAGTTATTTATAATAAATAAGTGTTGTCATTCCTAAAATATCCTTGCTAATTAAGTATATTGGCTAAAACTATCATTATTAGAAGGATTATCTTGGAAAAAAATACATAAATATAAGAGACAAAATGGATTGGGGTCTTATAATTAGGACCAAATAAAAAGTCAAATGGGGTCTTATAATAAGGATCGGAGGAGTATTAATTTCTAGTTCCTTCAATTTAAAATTTTCTCTTCAAGAAAATTACACGTAATAACTTAAAAGTAGTGTATAGTTATAATGTACAGTACATGATTATAAATGATACTCTTCCGGTCCTTAATATAAGACCTATTTAACTAATTTGAGTATATTAAGAAAGTTAAATAAGTTAGTGAATTATAAAAATGTGACGTTTTTTTTCTAAAATATCATAATCATCTTTCTTAATATCTCATCTTCCTTTTTTACTATAATTGAGGGAGTATCCATAAGGGTAATTTAGAGAAAATTGATAAATATGATAAATAGATCTTATATTTAAAACAAAAACTAACTCAACAATTGGGTCCTATATTAAATACCAGAGGAGTATTATAAGAAAACTAATATGTGTTTATCATAAATAAATAACTTAACTAATTTTTTATATTTGTAAATTAGTAATCTAGTTCTTACTTTTTATATTTATTAAGGACCAAAATGAGTATTTTTTTTAATTACATAATTGATGGATAAAATCCTTGATACAAGATGGGGAGAGAGACAAGAAAACGGATCCTATCATGTGAGTTCCATCTCAAATTGGATCCTTGGTTGTCTGGCAAAGCAAAAGCAACCGATACGAATAATTACAACAGATATAGATCATTTAAATTTTATTTTTTATCACAATTTTTTTTAAGTAAAAATAAAAAATAGCTTCCCAGCTAAGCCCAGAATTATGAAAACATGTTGGCAAAAAATAATTAAAAATGACTATCAAGAATTAAAAATATTAAAAAATTCCAATTATCCAAAATGAGATGTATACATTTAATATCTCGTGTTCTTATCCAGACTTTAATTAATTTCAAAATAATTAAATACGCACATACATAAAAAGTAAGAAATAAAATTTATTAAAATAAAAAATTCAATTTTAGTAAACCTTGAAAGGAAGGTTTTTTTTTTGGACCAAAAATTTAAAGCCAGATTAAATTTCCACACAAAAATTATGAATATATACAGGGAAAAAAAGGAAATTTAGGGGGAAAAAAAAGGTTTACCACAGCTTCACTTTTTGGGTAATTATGACATTTGATAATGATCTCAAAATTGTGGTATGAATGAAAAAACAGATAATTCATTTTTTTCAACTAATTATAGGAGTAGTTTATTTTCCGGTTAACTAACAATTTATAGTTCGCCAGAAAATTTATCAAAAATTAAAAGAAGCGTCTAAAATTGAACTTAACGCAATTTAATATTGGGGCATCACGTGGAGACATAATATAAGAGTCCATAAAGTTGTTGTGGGCTCATAGAATTAAAGAGATTATGGATTAGAGAATGTAGTTATTAATATTTTAAACTTCCTTTGATTTGTGATACAAGGCAACTCTAACTATCCCCTTAGAATTAAAGAAAGGTGATTAAGTGATTAATTTTATCTGAAAATGAAATAATTTTTTATTCTATCCACATTTAAATATAAAATTTCCATGTTTCTATTATAATATTTCTCATTGCTAATAACTTTAAATAGTGGTTATATCATAAAAAATTAATTAATAACCCATCAAATAATTTATAATCTACCTTTTCTAGATGCAGATAACTGAATCATACATATTATCTCTGATCTTAAATATAAAATTTAGTTTGTAGTGTAATTTTTATTATTAGTATTACAAAGATCACATGTTTAGGACCAAAGGTAGTATTAATAGGAATCTGAGCCAGTATTTTTGAGACATTAATAATAATCTATTGAATTATTAAAATGAGCAAACCTTGCCAAGAAAACTAGGTACATGCAGATCATGATATGATCATGCAATTATTCCATTGCCAGAAATAAAGTTTGATTTGACTTTTTTTAATATAATCTTTATTTATTTTGACTTTTTTTTAATTCTTTAATATTGTAGATTCCTCCCTTGTTGATCAATAAAGAGTACGCATGGAACTAATAATTGTATCATATTTTCTTATTTTTCCCTCTCTCTCTCTTTATCCAAATGACCCACTGCACTGGACGCCCATTTGATCTGTTTTAATACTTAATCCATGAAATTGATTAGTTTATTGAATTTTATATTTGGAAAAACTACCCACACAAAAATCTATAAAAATTATATTATTTATAACTCAAACAATATTATTCACATAATCATTCCACACTCTATCTGCACGAGCCAGCTAGACAATCTCACTTTCTTGACTACAATTTCAATTATTGGAAAAAAAAGCTACAAATTAATTTAACACGATGTTTTTGTAGTTTATTGTTTTTTATTTTTAAATATATATATTCACGTTCAATATATGTATTTATATGTGTGGGAAAAAGAGAGAGAAATTGTGTTTTTTTAATGATTTCTTGATTTTGCAGTAATATCTTTAGTGTTTATAAACTTTCCTTTTGAGTCAAATTAAAGCTGTATCATGAATTTCTGAGCAAAAAATTGTTTTATTGTTATTATTTATATTCACCTAATAAAACATATTTTGAAGAGAAAAATTAAAATGTACTTCAAAGTTAGAAACAATAATTGAATCCTTATCTTTTTTAAAAAAATACACTTAATAATAATTACAAATATTATCTACAAATAAATTACGTTCCTATCAATATATGCAATTGCAAACATGCTGTTGATTTTATAAATAGAAAAAAATTCTATTCTGCTGAAAATATTAAAGCTGGATAATTAACATAAACTGTGGATTTGGTGGGACATAAATTCTGAACAAAAGTTAGAAAATGCAAATGGAGAGAACAAAATAATATATGTATCCATATTTCATATTCATCTGTATTTATTTATTTAATTTTTGGTCAAAGTTAGTATATTTATTTAATACCTATTATACATTCATTGCTCCATAAGTGTATGAATCAAATTTAGATTCTATGAACATCTAACAGTATCTCTTTTTTTTTTTAAATTTATATTTATCTATAACAGTAAAATGTGAAAAAATAATTTTCTGGTTAATAACTTAAATGGAAATAATTACATTAAAAATATGCATTATAATTTAGTTCATTTAACTAAAACTCTTCATGCATTTGTCGCATAATTTAATTTGAGAAATGAGCTATTTTATATGCAATTTATGAATATTGTTATTTATTTATTATATATTTATATTATATATTGATATTGACCACAGCTGGTTTTCATCTATATGTAGTATGGAGATGAGTTTTCATAGCTTATAAATAGTCTGTCTTCCTTTAAATTATTTGTAAATATATACTGGCAATATATTACACACACCACATATATATAGTATATACGATTAAATTTATAAGAAGCTCACTTAGACATGAGATTTTGAGTTTGATTTTGGGAGGAACTTCTTCCAATTGACTCGATAGTACTCAAATGTAGCTCAATCAAATAATCATATGAAAATCATAAGAATTCAATTTTTTATAATACTCTTTTGGTCTTAAATATAAGACCTTTATATACAGTTATATAAGGATCTTATATTTAGGACCGGAGGAGTACCACTTTGGTTTTTATTATTAAGTCACTCCCGTAATCCATTTTCACACGCGAAGGAACACATTACATTTATAAAATTTTCTAAATTTACCCTTATTAAAATTTCTCTCTTACCATTTATAAATCATTCCCACAACTAATCTTTTTTCCTCTATTTTTAATAAAAATTAAATAAAAATAAAAATTATAAAACAATTATTAAATATTTTATAAGTGACTTCTATTATGTATAAAAAATTTTTTCTTACAAGTGACTTACAATCAGATTTGAAACGTACTATATTTTCTTAAGAAATTAGTATAATTTAAAAGTCACCGGAAAACACTTTGATATGCTTGACCTGGCAGTGGCACACATTCCTTACCTTAAATTCATCCATGCAAACAAAACAGAGATATTTATCCTCATAGGTAAACAAGCACACAATGCGAAGGATGCACTTGACCTATTTGAGAAAAGGGAAATACAAAAACTAGGCCGAATATGAAAAACGTAATAAAAGCGGAAAAAATGAATAAAAGATATTTAAAGAAAAATGGAAAACAGAAAATGTGGGCCCATGAAATCCGAGGAGGAAAAGGAAAAATAGGTGGCCATGAAATTCCCCTGTTGCCGTGTGTGTCATGACACAGAGACAAATACGAGCAAGGCCTCCCACTTCCTCCCACATTCATTTCCATTGCCGTCCCACCAGCACCATCTTCATCTTCTTCGCTCTCCCCCTCACGTGCTCCTCACGTGCTCTCCCCCTCCCTCCATTTATATACACCCTCCTTCCCTCTTTCCTTTTCTCTCCTCTTCTCTGTCTCTCTCTCTGTGTCTCGCGTTCAACCATGGCTGCCGCTTCTCCACCACCTTACACTCTAAACGTCGTCGGATCAGACTCCAATAATCCCTTCACCGAGACGACTTCTACTTCTGAGGATCGTGCTTCTTCTCAACACTTCCCTTCGGCGTTTCAGAATCTCAACACCAGCGTTCTCATTATTGTTATCGTTCTCGCCGTTACTGTCATTGTGTCGCTCTCTCTCTGCTTGCTCCTTCGTCACCTCAATCTCCGGTGCCTCCGTTGGCTGTCTCCCTCGTCTTTGTCGTCTTCATTCAGGAGGAATGCCACGCACACGACTGCGACTGCTACTACTACGCCTGTTTTCTCCTCCAGCCGTCGTGTCTCGCCGGAGATTCCCTCGGCTTCCGTTATTGACTCGCTGCCGATCTTCACGTTTTCTTCTATTGCTCGTCGCTCTTCGGCTTCTGATACTACCGGCGGAGACTGTGCAGTCTGCCTCTCGAAATTTGAGCAGAGAGACCTCCTCCGCCTTCTTCCATTGTGTTGTCACGCCTTTCATGTGGAATGCATCGACACTTGGCTTCAGTCGAATTTGACCTGTCCGCTATGCCGATCTGCGATTTTTGCCTCTGATTCGGACCTAATGAAGGTTCTCCGATCGTCCTCCGGCGGCGGTGGAGGCAGCGATAGTTTCCGGCTCGAAATTGGAAACATTAGCCGGCGTGGAACGGCACCACCGGACGTCGTTGCAGACGCGAGTGCGAGGTCGGGGTCGAGGTCGTATTCTGTTGGCTCGTTCGAGTATTTTGTAGAGGAGGATTACGAGATTCCTATCAGCCACGCGCATCGGAGGAGCGTGTCGGATAATAAGGACGAATCGGTAGTTATAGAATCTCAAGCTGCGGCGGCGGCTCAGTCGATCCACGAGGCGAGCTTAGCCGCCGATGTAGCCGGCAGCGGGAGGAGCTGGCTGAAGGAATACGTCGACAGGCTCTCATCTTCTATATCATCCCGAACAGTATCTTTTCGAGGCTCTGGAAGGTTCTTTAACAGCGGAGGTGCTAGCCACCGAAGCGACGCCGCCGCCTTCTCGGCCGAGGACTGCGACGTGGAGGCAATTAGATTAGGCGAAGAAATTAGCGAGACATTTCGATGGCTCTCAGGGGTATGACCGGTAAATAAGCGAATTAGTTAGACCCAAATTCTAAATTTTGATATATTTTTCAATTCTCAAAACTCATTTGGAAAATAGCACTATTAGACGCATATAGTAGCAGTAATTAATTAATCCCTCTACTATATAGCCTGTAGATAATACCCTGCGTGACATTAAATTTTTCCCATATTTCGATAATGCCATTTAAGAGTGCAAAAATTAGATCCTACTCCATATAAAGTTTCATCTGGATCAGAGAATTATTATATGCTTTTATTTTTTAAAATTGTCTTTCTCATACTTTGTTTTTTTGGTAATGGTTGGTAAGGGATTGAGGGAATCATGGTGAAATTCTTTATTGTTTGAGGGAGAAAGAGGAAAAGGAAGGAAAGATGAGAGAGAGGACAATGCTTTTGTTGGGAAATTAAGTAGACATAAATAATAAGAGGTATATATTGCAAAGGTGGTGGTTTTCATGTGGGTGAGTGACCGACGAACTATTTAATTTTATGTGAGAGAGGTCATTTATGATGCATTACCAACCATTTTAATGCAAAAGGAGGTCCTATTTCTGTGACCAAGTTATTAATTTTAGTAATAGTACTCCTATTTTTTTATTTATTTTTTTATAAGTATAACATGTAGTGCTATATGTGCTTTTAATGTTGGTGGATGAGTTCAGGAAAAGTAGAAAACTTATCAAGACATAATGAATGACTTGTCGATGGAATTTTTCTCTAAAAAAAATGTAAGTTAAATTAGTAATTTAACATTTCAAAAGTTAAAGTTGTTAATTAGAAAATTATAATTTGATCAATTATTAGACTTTTTTTAAAATAAAACATTCTTTTTCATTGAGTCAAAGACAACATTTGATGAAATTATTGAGGAAGATTATTTGGTGAACAACTTTTGCATTTTGAACAGAGTGATTCATATAACCCAGCCTAATTAGTGAGATAATGCGTATTGTTGCTGTTGATGGTGGGAGTGTTTGTAACTGGTTTAGACTGTGGCCATTAAAGAATGAGGTGGGGGGGGGGGGAGCAATTGAGTGAGAGTGGTTCGCACATATAGATTCAATCAATGACACTCTCTCTCTCTCATGAGATGGACGTTGGTATCTGAAAGAATCCAAAGTGCTAGTATTTCATTTTAATGTAAATTTTTTCTTAATGAAATAAATGAAGAAAAATAATAAAATACAGTTTATAAGTGGAAAAGAAAATGATGTGAAGCTTGAATAATAAGAGTGTATGAGATCTATTGCTTTTTCCTCCTATCTTATCATGTAGTATATACCTTTTCTCAGCTTGGGAGTCATCTCATATTATTTATCACTCAAAGTAAATTTGGTCAATTGTTTCAAGCTCAAAAAGCACCCAAATCCAATACAAGGAAAATAAAAATAAAGTATTCCTTGAAAGCTAATAGTAATAAATAAATATATAAATGCAAGAACACAGAGAACATGAAACACTTAATTACTTTCCCCAAATTAAACATTAATTACAGAATATATACAGAAGAGAATGATTATATATATATTCGGTTAAATCAAATATTTCTTATGTAATTTGTTGAGATTAATTTGGTTTGTTTCTGGGATATTGTCATGATTGGAAGGGAATGTGTGGGGGGAATCAGGCTTGCTTGAGGAAAGAGCAATGAAAAGAGGAATGCGTGGAATGTGTTGGGGAACAAAAAAAAAAATGAAGGGACAAACTTTGGTAACCTAAGCTCAAAAGAAGAGGGAGGCTGATCCATTTGAGTACTAAGGAATAAATACCACCTTTTCTCGCTCACCAACCTTCCCCTCTCTCTCTTTAATTCCCCCATTAAAGCTCAGATACACAATTGTCAGTTCTTCTCAGTCTCTCTCTCTCTGTATTTATATTTATCTTTGTCATTCTTCCCATTCCTTTCAATTTCAATTCAGCCATCTAACTAGTGTCACGCTATCACTGTCGGTCATGCATATTATTATGAGTTTTTACCTAGTCACAATTCAGCTGTACTATTTATGACTTAAAAAGAATATTCCCGGCAAAAACCTTATAACCTAATAATACTAATGCCTTTCCTAAAAATGAGAGTTTGCAGGTTTGCTCTCATTTATAATCTTGTTAATATCTGCTTCTTTAATTAAAAAAAAGAATATTTCCTTCAAGTATATTAATTAAAAAGAGTTCAAAATAACAAATATATAAAAATGTAATTTTTTTCAAAAATTATTTTATGAAGTGAGAGAGAGCGCATAAGAGAGAAAATTACCATCAGAATAATTTATCTTGATAATAATTACAATGATATTAATATGAGTAAATATATTATTATTTTTTATTATTATATAGAATAAAGTATTATAAAGTATAGTATAAAGAAAAAATTATAAAGATATAGAGCAAGGGAGAAAATAATAAATTAACAACAAAAATAAAGACAACTTCTAAATATCTCTTCTAAACAGAAACAAGCTATACCTAAAAATTGTATAATGTAAAAAGGAACATAAGGAGTAGTGTGAAGAGTTTTTTTATATGGACTTTTTGAATGCAATTTTACTACCGAAAAAACACAATTTTTGGCTATTTTTTTTATATGATTATCTAGTATTCAATATTACTGGGTCAAATTTAATCACTGTTTGACCCAAATAGAAGTAGCTCTAACATGATTTTTGCATGAATTATTGACACAATTAGTATTCAGTATTTCTCATTTGGCCATACTTATTAGATAGAGAGGATGGGTGCTTTCTGTTCTATTTATAAGCACATATTAAAATTTTCACAGGAGTGCATTGTGTTACTTTTTATCTATTATTCATGGGAACAAACCATAGAGTACATACTACTATTAAATTAAATAAGGGTAAATTTTGAAGTTATTAGATTTTGAGATAGAGCTAATAAAACATGTTAAAACAGAACCTTATGTATATCTTGTAATTCTAACATAATAAGTTTAAATTTAACTTTTCGATATTTGCATTTTCATTCAAGGAATCAGAACACATAATAAATTATTAATTTTAAAAATAAAAATGATTGATACCAAAAATAAAATATACAATGAAACTTAAATAATTTTTCCCATTAAAATTTAAGTAGTTTAGTTGAGAGCGTATCTAAGTCAAGAATATTTTAATAGCAAAATACTATGGATATTATTTAATAATTTTCTTAATTCTTGTCAAAAGCTTCCCAATGACAATTTCTTGGAATATACCATGGGAACGTCAATTAAGGGCAAAGTGAATGAAGCTGACATGTAACGAAAAAGGAAGTCATCGTCCATCTTTTATTAATTTTTTAATTTACTTTATGTAATTATAATATTCTTTTATTTGGTGTGGTGAACAAGTAACTCAAAAAAGTGGTCAAATGGATAACAGTTTTATTAAATTCAGATTAGTGGTTGACTTAATTATATCCATTTGATTACCTAACGGATTTACTTTCGAGATCATTCGTCAATTTGTTGGCTCTTTAACTTAACCCATCAATGTTAATAGTTAATTAATTAAGATAATAAATTGCGACAAGAAAAGAAACAGAAGTTATGCCAAACATCAGTTTTGATATTAAAATTGCATGCAAGTCACTTAAAGTGGGCACGTGCATAGCCGACCAATATTTTCCAATTGCCATATTTAGATAAGTTAAATATTTTAATATACTTAAATTTTTTTTAATATATTTAATTTCAGTAGTAGTTTCCACAATTGAGTTAGGTTTGGTGGTGGAGACAAATTTGTACTGTGCGGCAGAAAATTAAATATGTTTTGCTTCCTGTTTGAGTCTTCTAAATTTAATATGCTGTAATTTAGATTTGAACCTTATCTTTGGAATAGTTTTGTGTGGGTAGGTCCCCTAAAACACTGGTTTTTTCCCTCAAACTAATCCAGTCATGAAATTTCTACAAGGATGCGCTTGGGAGAAAATTAGTCTTTTTATTTTTATAGTTTTGAATTGGTGTGTATATTTTAGAAAATAAAATTATATGTTTCGTGAGCTTTAAAACTTAGTTTTAAATGGTTAAAACTATAAAAAATTGAGCTGTAACAAGTTAAAATTTAGGAACAGTAACTAAGTCAAAGCTATATAAACTAAATTGTACCAAGTTACGGTTTAAGAATTAAATTACAATCAAGTCAAGACTATTGGGGGCAAAAGATTAATTCCCCCCAATCTTATAGTTTTGACTCATTTATGATTCAATATCTCAACTTTAACTCAATACAACTCATTCTCCATAGTGTAACCATTTAAAATATTAGTTTCTATATTTTAGAACATAAAATTATGCTCCTCCGGTCCTTAATATAAGACCTAATTGTTGAGTTAATTTTGATCCTAAATATAAGACCTATTTATTATATTTATCAGTTTTTTCTTTATCCCTACTCTCTCAACCAAAATTAAGTAAAAGAGGAAGAGAGGATATTAAGAAAGATGATTATGATGTTTTAGAAAAAACATGTCATATTTCTTATAATTAACTAACTGACCTAAATTTTTTAATCTAATCAAATTAGTTAAATAGGCCTTATATTAAGAATCGGAGGAATATATCTTATGAAGTTTAGGTACTAACATTTTAAATTGTTGAAACTATAGGGATTTATTTGCATTGAGTTAAAGTTTATATTGAGTTGTAAATGAATCCAAATTATAAGAATTAAGTTACGCATTGAGTCAAAAATTAAAAATTGAGTTATAATCAAATCAAAGCTATAATAACCAAAAGATTTATTTTTTCTAGTATATACAAAAGGCTATATATAGTACAATATATAGTACAAGTAGTGCACAATGATTAGTTTGATTCGATTCGATTGGAAAATACTAAAACAGAATCAACTAAATTTACAGTAGAACAAATAATCAAATCAAATCTATGACCAATTTGGATTGATCAGTGGATTGGTTCAGTTGGAAAACACACATAACCAACCAATCAACTAAATATAGTAGAACAAATAATCAAATCAACTGATGATTTGGTTCGGCTTGTTAGCTTGGACCAGATTATGCTTCTAAAAATACTTATATTAATTAGGTCAAATAATATTGTCTTCAAGGTTGAATTACTTATAGTTAAATATTTATATTCGACTTAATGCTATTGTATGGCCTGTTTGATTCATAGAATCGATAGGAATGCAATGAATGGGAATGAAATGTAATGTAATGGTGACTATAGTGAGCATGTTTGGTATGATGTGATGGTGATT